TTTTACCTTGTTTTCTATACTATTGGTGTACTGTTCTAATGATAGGAATGTTTGCTTTGCATGAATGCTTTTGGAATGTTGTATGTTGCCGTGTTGGTCGTGTTCAGACGGTGAGGAGAACGTTGGAGATCAAGAATTCTTCGACGACCAGCAGGACCAGCAAGAGTTTGTGAACCAAGGCAAGTATAGCATGGGCCTACCTTGATGTCCTATTTCACTTTAATCAATTACTCATTTGCATGTGTCTAATTTTGATACCCGTAAGGACATCCTAGTGATTGATTATCCTGTTCCTTGTCTCCTATGGGTTAAATGCATATGGGTAGATTGCTAGTGCTCTAACTGAACTTGATCTACATGATGATGAATGATTATATGGAACTAAGAGTTTAACATGATTTATAACAACTGTTCCATAGGGCAAAGGTGCAAATGACCTTTGATCATATTGCTCTCGGCCCTCCATAAGGACTTATCTGTCGGCAAAAGCTGGGACTGACAGTACAACCGTGAGGGTCATATGGCTCTGACTTTAGCTCAGTAATAGGACCTTTTCTAGCTTGTTAGAGGTTACCTTTATGGCGCAAAAGGGGCTTGCCACGTTGGATATAGGACTGCCTCTGTTCCTATGTGTATAGCCGCGATGGATATGTGCCATAGGAAAGGGGGGTTCCTACATCTGCCTACCAAGGAAACCTAGCGGCCCTAACTTGTTAGAGAAACCTATGAAATGGCTTCATAGTGTACCCTGCCCGCTCACCTTGGCAGTGATATGGGAGTAATTAACCCGGGCATATGGGGATCACGACTCACGGTGAATGTGCACCACCTCTGCAGAGGGTAACAAACTGTTATAACAGCCGTGCTCACGGTCACGAGCGGCCCGGAAAACTCATAGAATAATTGATTACTCATTGTTGTTCATTTATGATGGTTTATGATGATATGATTCAAATGATGCTGATATCTGATTAAGTGGGTTTAAATGGGAGCTTAAGCATAACTTGATGATACTTGATAATAAAATCTTGTCTTACTAAAAGGGCTAACTGCAGTAAACCAGTGTCAACCTTTTTGAGCCTCATGAACCCCATGTTATCTTGTTGAGTATGGGAAGTACTTATGCTTGTTTATTTTCTTTATTTGGATAAAAATCTCGGATGGGTAACAGATGACAATGTGTATGAGGAGTTTCCTGAGGATTATTAGGCTTGTGGTCAACCAGTTGACCTTCCCTGTGATGGTGTTCCACGAGAGAGAGTTATCTTTCATTTTCCGCTGTGATGTATAAGACTAAGTTATGTTATTATCGTGATGTAAGATACACTGTGATGATACACTTTTATAATTTGTCAGCTTGTGTGTGTGATTGATCCCTGGGCACACATGAGTTAGTGCATTCAATTTTATCCTTAAAATTGGGTGTGACACTTCTTCATGGTATTGTGGAATGTATTCAAGAAAGCTGTATTATGATTCAACATGGCATCATGGACAGATTTGTTGACAGCTTCTACAAAGAAACGCCTATCATCAGCTTCGTATGTATCTGACTGTCCATGTATCAAAACTCTCGGTAGTGGATATTTTCTGAATAACCTTATTGTCACGTGTTTTGGTGTACGACAACAAGCACTTTCTCTGAAACTCCTCTATAGCCTTACCAATGACATCTTTATCCTCTTCAAGTAAATCTTCATTAGGCACCATAAGAATGTGTCTGTTGTTGTGAACCGCCTGACGATTGTGGTCCCATTGGGCGTGCCAAAAAGTGTGTTGACTCAAAAATGTGGTAATGTGACCAACACACAGCAAGCCGGAAGATCCGAACGGAACAAGACCAAAGATCTACTTGGCTTCAACACAGAACCAACTAATTCTGAAAACCCAACGACGTGCCAATCAATTTGATCTGTAATTAATAAGGAGAGAAAATCTTATCGTAATTTAAGGTGGAATATGTCGGTGCTGCTCCAGATAGTTCCAAATATACGGCTACATAGCCGATTCAAAAAGGATATCCGACATATCAGTGAAACAAGGATCGCTGAATTAAAGATTATTGGCTAATGTCAAATAATAATGATATGAATTTAAGATAACCGATGCTCATGGGTCACAGCAGATATATTGTGATTGATTAATCTAATAAAAAACAAGTACAATACACCCAAATATAAGTGATATAAGAAAACATCATCGGCTAGATGAACATGATCAGTATAAAGCGTTGAGACGATAAGTTTGACGAAAGAGAGTATAACATGCGAACAAATCGATTATCTAGTACAAATAAATTTACAAACATCCTGAATCTAATCTATTATCATCAACAGTGAGGTTCGATTGGATCGATACAGCTATGATAATGATATCAAACTAAAGCCAAAGAATCTATAAAACCATCTATATATTGACAGGTTCATAAAATCATGTTATATACGTGAAAGCACAGATAAATCGGCTAAAATAGCTGATGCATGCATAGCAAACAAACAGAATACATGTCTCGATCATGAACAAAACTGCTAATCGATAATTTCTAATCTAAAGTCTTACAAGTGAGGTTTGACCGGGTCGATGCATCTACAGTGGTGTCATTAGATTAGATCTCATTGACTAGTGAATTTATTCAAGATTGGAACATGTCTTTGAATGCATACTATGTTTGATTGAGATAGAGATAAAACAACTGATCTAACAGAACTAAACCATCAATTATAAGATTTAAAGCATGACCAGGTCAAAGGACGACCAATTAAAATAATTTGAGGCCAATCTATCTCTATCTCAATCGGTAATTCATTATAATTAATAAAATATTAATTATAATAAGATTGATAACTGGTAAATCGATCCAAAACAGCAAGGAAAATCTTACTAATCTTAGTCGATTCGATGACTAGTGATATTATATTAAACAACAAGTTGTTTATTACAAAATCAATAAATTTGATCTATATTATGATTCGTAAGAGGTCAATCAGCTGATGCAGCCTTATAAACAATGATATGGATCGATAACTAACTTATATTATAGCTCATAAAAGATCAATCAGCTGATGCAGCTTTACAAGCATAATACAAGTCGTGACAGTACTCACAAGCAAGCTGGGGGTCGATCGGTCGATGCAGCCCTGTTTGCTGAAGAACTCGCCGAGATCTACAGTACTCCTACTCCTAATGCAATGGCGAAAGTTGAAAAGATTGTGTTGATTGATTGTTTATGTCCTTGTACAATAATCGGGGTTCAATATTTATACTTGTAACCTAAACATGAGTCCTACTCAAATACGATTTGGTACAATTTGAAATAAAAAGAAAAACTTCCTAACTTAATAACGTGCACCCCAACTTTCCCTTCTTCTGCAGAGCCCGACATATCTCCCTTGACGCCATCCAAATGTAATCCATTGACGTTGTCTGCTAACGTCATCTAAAAAGAGCTGATCCCGACACCTCATCTAAATCAGCTGATACCGATTCTCATGTAATCGATCCCTTGACGACACAATCTTGGAAGCTTCAAGTTCCCACATTCTTATTTTCAAATTTTGGTGTAAACAGCGACACAAGCAGTGGCCTAGTGCCTTCGAACGCAAGGCCCCCACACTTTGTAGGCCTCCTTTTGTGACGGTCGAGATCAAGGGCCTCAGTGGTCTTCGTCGACGGGCTTTGTAGGCCTCATTTGGGCTCACCCTGTATTTTAGTTATTTCAAAAACTAATATCACCATCGACTTTGACTAATGATAGATGAAAATGGTAATGATGAGGGTTTTCAAACAGTCCTGACGAGCTCTTTGTAGTAGTGATCCTGACACCTACGTCAAGTTTCTAAATTATGGTTTACCAATTATATTATACAGTCTCAGGTTTTGTTTTTTTAGATAATCGATGGACAGAGAGAATCCCCAATACTTCCTGCCTACCAAATAATCATTTTAAGTTGATCCAAGTCAAACTATTCTCACAAGGATAATCAATCAGGTGCTCTCCCACCTATGATGTGCTCCCATGGCGAGGTTGCACCACAAGCATGTATGAGAAAATCCAACTGGATAGGACATAGGAGTAGAATGCATTATCATTGTAAAATTTTTGAAATGTAGCAGAATACATACCATAAACAAAAGTGAAAATCAATATTTGAATAGTAGCACATTACTGCGAGTAAAAAATGAATAGTCAAAATCATATTCTAATTTCACATCACTCGGCAAATGCAGCACCAAATTATACTCTGATCAAACCAATCATCACGGTATTTTGTTTCGTCAACGCGCAAGTGATATTCAGGAACCATACAGATCACAAGTGACTGACACAAGATTTGTCCTAAAACCACTACTAGATCAGCCTGTAGGGATGCCATTGTATGACAATGAAAGTTGAAAAATAATGAATCTAGTAGAGTAGTATACAGCGGCCATGAATTAAATGTATGACTAAAGCTGACGCCGTTCACGCATTCATTCGTCATTGCTTCTACAAATCTGCTTGTGACACCAGTACGTGCACACATGACTGAATGAGACTTTTTTTTTAATGTTGACTGAATGAGACTTGAAAGACAATGAATCCCATTAAGTAGCAGTACAGCCCACTTATATTAGGTATCCAACACCAAACTCTACTGCTATCCAGACAATCAGGCGTAGTACGCATGCTCGCCGTACGCCGCTCCCCAAGTCCACGGCGCCACCGGAGGCCCTGCCCAGTGGTCCCGTTCACGTGCCCTTAAACTCGGCTTGATCCGCTTCTTTTTTCATCCGGAAACAGTGTTTTCCTCTCACAAGTTCCTCCAGATTCATCCAGATTCCTCCAAATTCCTCCAAGCGAATGGGGCCAGTGTAGGCAGCACCAGGAGATGCAACTGGCATCAGCTTGTAACCAGGATGCCCAGCACCTACTACGGGTCCGGTCACGCCATGAGTTTGCATGGCAGCGCCTACATCCATCTGTGGCCAATACACACCGGTACCACTGCTGCTATGATAACTCACATCCTTTGCTGGCCGTGGGGGAACCATGCCGGGTTGACCTGCTGCTGTGCCAGACCTGCGTGGTAGTACTGGTTCTCAGGGTTCGCTGCAACACCTTCATATGTCATGCCTCCTATGACTTGCATGCAGTGCAGATCCATTTGACTGACCCCGTAGATGCTCTGAGTCAGTTCGCTGCCACTCCTGCTTGTAATTGCAGTACCAACAACTGGGACGTTGCCCATGTCGGATGTCAATATGCCCTCGGCGGCATCCCACGTCCAAACTGGAGCACTGCTGCCATTCGATGTGTTGTTCTCAGGAACAGAGATGGGTCCAGGCAATACATGAGCGGTAGGCAGAGCTGAAGCCCCCTGTGTGATGCCACACACGTTTGCAGCGTAGCTGGTCCACACGTTTCCTTGGCCATCTACATGGTATTGCCTTTGACTGTGACTCACACGATGTTCTCCCCAAGTGTAGCCAGGTAGGGACATCGTTTGAGTCGGCTCTGAATGGCTCACAGCAGCAACACGGGTGGAGTCGAGTTGCTTCTCCACTTGCTCCAACTGGTCAGATAACTCTTGCATGATTTTTAACACTAGAGAGTTGGCTTCCTGTTCAGTAAGATCTGATGCTGATGTAGCTAAACCATTTGTGCTTCCTTGGTCATAAGCAGCACTGCTCCTCCCTAGATGCTTGATAATTTTCTCATCCTCCCGGTTCTCAGGTCCTGTTTTAATCTCAGATTTTGTAGCAGTGGAAGTATGAAGGGTTTCTTTATCATGACTCTTCGTTTCCAATATGGACCTTGATGAATTATCAGATGATGTTGTGTGCCTCTCTGCCTGTAGCATTTGCCTGGGATTCTGCAGGTGCAGCTCTTTGTATTAAGGCTGATAGGAGTGCCTCTCCATTTCACTTGTTTTTGCTGGCACTGCATCCTGCAAAACAGTGCTTTGATTCACAGATGGCAGGTTTGGAGCAGGTATTGCCATGCAGTTCACCCCACCAGCCTCAGGCCTTGGCTCTTTAACTTCTGTGCACATGATACTGTCACCCCCATGGGGCTCCTTGGCATGCTGTTCATCATGCTGATTCTTTCCCGATTGCTTTGTCTGCGTAGGACTAGCACAGCTATTTGTTGTATCATAATCCACTTCCTTGGCAACTGTTTTCTCCTGATTCACGGATGCAACTGAAGCATCCACAAGCACTATGCTCCCCACAGTAAAGCCTCTAGCCAAAGCAGCCTGCATGATGATTATAGAACTGTTGATAACAACGCCTGATACAGGAGCTTTACGCAAACCAGATGTTTCTGTATTCTCAGTTCCAAACACACATGGTGACACAGGTCTGTTCTTGCTTTGTGTTGAGAGGTCCACATGAGGTTTAGCTTCAGCATTTTGTGCGTTCACATGAGTCCCAGAAACAGTTGTAATATCTTCTGTGCTTTCAGCTATGTTTGACCTCTCCCTTAGAACTCTCTCCAGTGGATGAACTTGCCTTCGCCTATTCTCCATCTGCAAACGCTTTGGAGAACTGTTCTCGTGTGACTGTGATGCACTTCTCCGGGCAATGTGTTCCATCATGCTGTTTTCATTGTTCTTTGCTGAAGGTATGACATTATGAATCAAAGACACATTATGAATCAAAGACCCTTTGTTGACACCTGCAGGTCCTGATGCTGGAGTGCAGCCCCTTGAAATTCTTCCATGTGAATGAACTTGCCTTCTCTTTTCCTCCATCTGCAAATGCATTGGAGTTGGAGTCCTGCTTTCATTTGAGCGTGACACGCCTTTCGGGTCAATTTGTTCCATAATCTTGATTTCAGTGTTCTTGACTGGGGAAATGGTGTTCGGAATCAAAGGACTTTTGTTAGCATCTTCAGTGTCTGATGCTGGAGTGGAGCCCCTTGAAATACTCTCCTGTTTATGAACTTGTCCTTCCCTATCCTCCATCTGCAAATGCTTTGGAGCACTACTGTCATGTGACTCTGCTTCAGTTTTCTGGGCAATGTGTTCCAGCATGCTAATGTCAGTTTTCTTGGCTGCACACATCACATTCTGAGTGGAGCTGATAGCAGCTGCAGTATTCTTCACGGCATTTGGTCTTGGAGGCACATTAAGATTCTCAGCATAGACAGTACATGTATCTGATACTGAGGCATCATGACTACTAGTTCTACTGCTTCCAGCATTTTGTTTACATAGATTTTTGTTTGTTTCTTGTGGCACATCATTCGACATCTGATTCTGTACAAACAAACATCTCTTCAGTTCCAATTTTGCATTAGCTTTTGCCTTTTGTTGAAGTTTTCCCCTCTCCTCTTCCTGAAGTTGTTTTGGATGCTGTGCAGACAATTCTCTCCTTGAAAGCTGAATGATGAACCAAATAAACATAGTTAGCAACAAAAATAAATAAATAAATACAAGATTCTTGGAGACATGACACATCACTAAGACTTGTCTGTGCTGTTTGCCCATTTTTCACATTTTATTTATGTACAGGCGTCACTCTTTTTGGTACTCTTTTAAGAAATTTGGCAGCAACGGAAATGGAGCAACCTATAATGAAAAGGATGCACCTAAATAGGATGTGTGGAAAACTGTAGGAAAAGAGTCCAACCAAGTTCAACTTCTACAGGACAAGCATTAAATCTTAACATCATAGATGAATATATCAAGTAGAAGCATTCCTAGAAGCAACAGAAATATCTTTTTATATTTTATGATTGATTAGCATGGCATTTCATTTCAATGTAAACTGGTCTCCCAATTGCAACACAGTTTGGTGGCCATGATACCATGATATGAAATCAACTATTCCTAATCGAGTATTAGACAACACTTAATTGACAAAGGAAGAAAATAACATGGCATCACACAACATGACAATTGGGTACCTCAACGTCATAACCAGGAGAGTTAACCATATCATCAACAGCTCTCCCCTGCACCTGCAAAGAAGTGCCCTCAGGAAATGATTGATCTTGATAAGTATCTGTCCTTACAACTGGCAAAGAGTCAGCTGTAGAGTGATCTTTCCATCCATGTCCAGGCATGCTAAATGAAATATCCTCAGCAGAACTACCATGCCTGTTTCTTGATGCATTCGATCTGGCATATACATGATAATCAGCAGCAGATTCACCTGGTGCATCATTTGATTTCAGACTATGTACAAATGGACGTGTGCTCAAGACTTCTGGTTTGGCAATGAATGTTGCCTTATGTTCGATGTTTTCATTCTCCATCTGTAGTTGTTTTGCATATTTGGTAGAAGACTCTCTCCATCTTGAATGCTAAATGAACCAAATAAACAGAAGTTACAATAACGCAAATATAAGATTCAGGGACAATGGACACCTCAGGTCCTTCTTTCACTTTGCTTGCCTGCTTTTAGTTCTTTTTATTTATATGCATGCACAACTTTCAAGATACTCAATAAATACTGTACATGTAGTAACACTGTATAGGAAAGACTAGCTTTTGGAGGATAGACATCAATGTTACCATTGATATTGACAAACTTATTGAATAGAAGAATTTCTTAACACAAACATCTCTTCATATTGTATGTTTGAATGCTATGCTAACTATGGCATTTAAATATCAATTGGTCTCATCATAATAACAAAACAGTTTTGTGGCCTTGATACTGTCAAAGAAAAGCATGTTTTCCAGGACAAGTACAAGATATCATTTAATTGACAATAGTAGAAAATAGCATGGTACCAGACAAAGTGACAATTTCGTACCTCAATTTCATAACGAGGAGAATTAAGAATATCATCAGTTAGCGCGTGCCCTTGCTCAGAGGTGTTCCAAGGAAAAGATTGGTCTTGATGAGAATTTGTCATAACTGGCAAAGAGTCAACTGCAGGGTGACCTTCCCATCCATGTCTCGAAATGTTAAATGAAATATCCTCAGCACAATCAAGCTTGTTTATCAAAGCACTCCATCCTCCATATACATGGGAATCACAGGCTTTACCAGGTGCGTCATTTAACTTCTGACTTTGTACAAATTCCAGTTTTGCAATAGACTTTGCCTTTTGTTGACTTTTTTCCCTCTCCTCTCCCTGTAGTTGTGCATTTTGAGCAGACAACTCTCTTCCTGAATGCTGAATAAATCAATTAAACAAAATTTCAAACAACAAACACTAAGATTTCTGGATATAGGGCAGTTAATTCGTCCTTTTACAATGTTGCTTGCTCACTTTTAACATTTTATTTATTTATGCCAAATTCTTGAGTATTACGTTCAGAAATTAGGAGGCAATACAAGTGGAGTAATAATAAGGAAATGAACATGACTAAATAGAACATGTAAGAATTACACTATATAGGACGAGTGCATATTTTGAAGGATATGCATCAACCTTAACATGGATACAGATGAATTTACATTTATATAGAGTAAAAGCCATGCATGCAAGCAACAGAAACCTCTCTTTACATGTCTAGGTACTAACTCAGTATATCTCATACTAACAAAATTACAAAACATTTCAGTGACCCTGATTATGTTAAAGGAAAAGTGTATTCCTGATCAAGTGCAACACAATATTAACAATACTGGTGGAAAATTACATTGCAACATGCAAAATGGTAATCAAGTACCTGGATTTCATAAGGAGGAGATTTCAGCATATTATTAGCAGTTCTCGCATGCACCTGCTGTGAGCAGTTCCCAGCAAATGGTTGATCTTCATGATAATTTGTTGTAGTGACTGGCAAAGAGTAAACAGTAGAGTGTTCCTTCCATCCATGTCCCCAGATATTAGATGCAGTGTCCGTAGCTGAACTGCCACAGAGGTTTGTTGATGTATCCGCTACTCCATATACATGATTATCAGCAGAGTTGCCCATCTTTTTAGCTTCACTGAATTCAGTAACATGTCCTTCTGACAGATCAGTCGTTACAAGAATAGCAGACATATTTGATGTACCAACCAACACATGATTACATCTTTCAGAAACAGAATTAGCCATATCAAAGGCAGAGGTGATATAATTGGTGGCAGCGCTAAAGGGAACATCATTTGCTACATGATCTGCTTTTAAATTGAGGCTTTTTGGGCATTCAACCTTGGATTCCTTGCACAAAGATATTTCTGGCATGTTACGGGCACAAAGATTTCTAGCTTTGATGTTTAGACACTTAATTTTCTCTAACAGTGCCACATTCTTCTTGATGACAGGTTGCTTCTCAAGTGCATCTGAATGGTTACCTTTGATCTTTCCAAGTATGTGATGAGGTAGACAATTTATTTTCTCTAACAGTGCCACATCCTTCTCGATGACAGGTTGCTTCTCAAGTGCATCTGAATGGTTATCCTTGACCTTTTCAAGTATGAGATGAAGAAAACTTTTGACAAAAGTATCAACAGGCACATTAGCATAACAGGAATCATTGTTTTTTGGGTGATAAACACCATGTGGACCATGCCTTTCTTCTCCCCCCTGGTTCAGAACGGATTGACCATCATGAGTAAATGATTCAACAGGGAAGCTGACAGTCTTGTCTGCAGGATTGCATGGACCATATGATACCACTCCTCCGAGACGAATTCCATTCCTGTCAAGGAGGGTGATCAGGAGGAGGATGCCAGTAATCAATACATGGAGGCGGCACACATATATCAGGAGTTTGTGTAGCATGTAGTTGAGCCTGTTTTGGTTCCCAAGAGAAATTTGCAGTAGAAACAGGATCACCTCCTGACAAAACAAATATATCTCATCATATGGAAACAAAAGTAAAATTGTATGAAAGAAAAATTCTATGATAACCTAAGTTATGAAATATAAAATAATGGGTGAGAATCAGCGAACAGGTGCGTACCAGTTAACGGGATCTTTCTTTGTTCATCTCGTGCCGCGATAACAACAGAGCTAAAAGATGATCGCCCTTGAAAACTATGGCCTGCAAATGAGAAGGCACCAAGTGTAAAGAACATGTGTTGTAGGTTTATTAAATAAACTATATGAAACTGACAAAGCATTTAGCACCACTAACATAAATTTATCAAGAATACAGTTTATTGTAGGGAAAAATTATGATTTTAGATATGTAACTGCATAAACTATAAGCAGACTTTACGCAAGATAATCGGGTGGTACATGTAGACACCTTGTTGACCATTTGACTGAGAGTTCTTGGAATCAAGTACTGGGAAATCATCTGCACATATGGTAAACCCCTTTCTGTGTGATGTAAACCTCTGCATTGGCAAAACATATTATTGGATTAGATGTGTTCAGTTACCTGACAACGTGAATACCATATGGAATGCATACCTTTTTGGCAATAGTCCTTAATGGGGCTTTCAGAACATCCAAGAAAGAAACTTGAGAATGTGCAAATTTCCAGCTTCCTGATCTTAATTCTGTGCTTTGAGAACGGCTTATCGCAGTTACAGAATCATGTGAAGCTAGACCACAAGCAACAGGTGAGTCGAGCAAGTCACTTTCATCTGTCGACGTGCTTGAGCTTCCTGAAGAAGAAGGGCGGTCATTGATGTTCAAAAATGACCCAGAACCTTCACCCTTCTTGAGAGATAGGAGTGATAATGAACCCCATGCATTTGGGGCCTGTTTGGTTCACGGCATGGCCTGGGGGTGCTCACCTAGGCAGCTCAATCAGTCCGCGAGGCGCTCAAAATCAACGTCCAGGGGAGCTGCCTGGCCAGGCAACGTTGGCTAGGGTCAGAACCAAACAGCCCCTTGGTGCTGGAGGCATTGGCCTGTTGACCCATGGGAGAGCACCCCTGCATCCATTCCAACATCCCATCAGATAGCAAAATATCACCAACAGGGTACAGGGAAACGGTAAAAAATGTCTAGATCAGGAAAAAAAAAAAAAGATCCTCATGACTCAACACCATTCATGCATTAAAGCCAACATGGCTACTGGACACAATTCAGAATTAAGGGGATATTGCTAAACAGCAATCACAGGGAAACAGTCAAAAATTGTTTAAACTAGTATTTAGTATTTACCCAGACAATACACACAAGGGATCCCAGTGGCGGCTTAAAGACTACCACTTTGACACTGAATCAACACGGCTTATGCATCTAAGCCAGCATAGTTACTTGACAAAATCGGGACCATTATTTCAATCAAGGGACAAAAAATACGAAAGCATACATATGACTAACCCAACTTGCTTCCTTTATTTTACTTAACAGTAGTGCAAAACTAACTGTGCCACCATCCATCAACGATAAGAATCATTGTCAAGTTATATAAACACATAAACATTGGAAAGGGAACAACCGACTCTGGAATGAAACCCCAGTAGGTGATAGTGATAAACACAATTTAAAACCCCCAATTCAACTAGGAATGGCATCTCCAGATGATGATTTACGCCGGGGAAAAGAAATGTCACCTCTGGGTTGGCAAGTTAGTGGGCTTCGGGGCCGCCTCAACAACCCCCGCGGCCGGCAGCCTCCCCGGAGCCGCAGCAGCAGCAGCAAACCCCCACCTGCAGAGATAAACCCTAAACCCTTGTAGTCGGGGAGCACCAACTGAACCCAATGGAAATACAAGGAGATAGAAATGGGAAGAAGAATAAGGAGGCGAAGCGGATGCGACCTCTTGTCGGCGGCGAGTGCCCGCGACGGTGCCGCGGCCATGTCTTCCCCGCTACTTCGGTGTTCGGAGCCGCGCGCGGAGGAGAACCCGGGACGGCGCGGGCGAAGGTGGAGGCGAGTTGCGGGTGGCACGGGATGGGTAGGGGGGTGCTGGAGGAGCGTGGGTGTCGACGGCGGCAGGGGAGAGGCGGATACAGCAGAGGACGAAGGGAAAGTTCCAGCAGTGCAGTGGAACGGCGAGCAGCGGAGAGGGGTGTCTATGACAAGTAGGCCCCACTGAATGGTCGGAGACGGATGGGATCGCTGGAGACCGGGACACATTGTCAAGGACGGACGAGGTGTCCATGACAAGTGGGCCCCACTGAATGGTCGGAGACGAACGCTGGAGACCAGGACACATTGTCAGTGACTCTAGAACGAGCGACACGACCGCTGCAGAAAATCCTTTTGATTTTGCGCAAAATTTAATCGTCTGCTGCTTTGAACTCATGTTTGCGAATATTTTTCTCAAAACTCGAAAAAAATTGAATTGACCTCGCGTATGCCAGAAAACCCCGTCAAACTAACAGAATTTAGCAGAAACTAAAAAAAATAGAACACGAATCAACAATTCAGTATTGACCTCGTGGGGAGGGACCATCTAATTTTCAAAGAAATTTTAAAAATGTACACAGGCTTGCCATTAATTTTTGAACTACAATAGTCTGTATTGACCTCGTGTGTCGCTGAAAACCCGTTAAACAGACTGAATTTAGCTGGGTAATAAACAAAAATTAGAATGCAGACCAGGGAGTGCAATTCTACGCAAAATCCGTTGAAACAACAGAATATATAGATAAAACAACAAAAATTTCAAAGAAACACAAAAATTGTAATAAAACGAAAAAAAACACAACAAAACATAGTTGCAATTGACCACTCTCCTTGTCATGTATTCAGCACAAGAGCACACAAGATCCATACGTCAATTCACCACGAGATCATCAGAAATTGTGGAAAAACTGATTTTAGTCATATAAACTACTACCCGGAAACTCATTTCTCCTATTGTACACCAGATTAAATAGGGAGAAAAGGGGCAGTGCACTAGATATCGTTCAACTCATTATACATCAGGAGCGGCCTGCTGAACTGCTGCGCCTGGAAATGTTTCGCCTGCAGGAAAACTGGGGAATGCAGCATCAGTCCCTTGGAAAGGCTGGCCAGCCGGTGTGCCGCCAAAGTTGTTGTCATTCCCACCACATATCAACGGTGCAGCAGCAGCTGGCTGGACTAGGCCACCAGGAGACATTGGCGACATTGAAGATGTATCGGCCAGTGATTGTTGAGGAGCGAGAGCAGGAACAGGTGGTGCTGCTGGTCCAGGTACAGGGACAGGTGCAGGTCCGGCTGCTCCAGATGCAGGAGGCAGCACATCGAAACCAGATCTTGCTCGGGGCCTGCGCTCCGGTGCTGCCCCATGGTCACGGATCCTGCTCCTGCTGCGACTCCGGCTACTGCTGCGGCTCCGACTCCTGCTCCAGCTCCTGCTGTGGCTCCTGCTGCGTGACCAGCTCCTGCTGCGGCTCCTGCTCCTACTAATGCTCTTGCTATCACTTCTTCTGTCATAACCCCGTGACTGGACTCTATCTGGGCTGCGGCTGTAGCTCCGATCCCTACCTTTGTCTCCAAATCCTCGACAGTTATCATATCGTCCCCGTCCATCTGAGACAAACCGGTCATGTGGGCCTCGGTCAGAACGCCCCCTCCCGCCAAATCCACGCCCCCTGCCACCACGTCCACCAGAAAAATCTCCCCTACCTCGTCCACCAAAACCGGGAGAATCACCCCTGCCACGCCCACCAAATCCGGAAAAATCACCCCTGCCACGCCCACCAAAACCAGGAGAATCACCCCTGCCACCACGTCCACCAAAGCCCCCAGGGCTTGCTCCGCCTCTACTGCCAAAACCACCAGATCCACGCTCCCCTCTACCACCAAAACCACCTGACCCAGGGCCATCTCGTCCACCAAAGCCACCTGAGCCCTTTCTGCCACCAAAGCCACCAGGACCCTCCCGTTCCCGGCCACCAAAGCCACCAGGGCCCTCATGGCCACCGAAGCCACCAGGGCCCTCCCGGCCACCGAAACCACGAGGGCCAGCCCGGCCACCCAAGCCATCAGGGCCTTCCCCGCCACCAAACATGGCTGGGCTTTCTCGAACACCAAATCCACCCGGGCCCTCACGACCACTGAAACCTCCAGGACCCTCCCTGACACCACCATAACCAACAGGGCCACCAGCACCAAGTTCAAAACGACGACCACCAGGCCCATCCCAGCGGCTCATCCCAGCAGCCTGGTTTCTTGGACCTCCAGAAGCACTGCGTGCAGCCATGTCTTGCAGCTGTGGCGGGACATGCTGGTTGGCACCTTGCAAGAGTTTCACCAAATCACCAGCATATTTCCAATCTTGTTCACAGAAAAAAGTGTACGAGATACCAGTAGCGCCAGCTCTTCCTGTACGCCCTATGCGATGCACATAGTCCTCTATCCCAGTTGGAAAGTCATAATTGATTACCACTCTGGAAAAAACACATGGTGCAGTACAAGTGAGCAACAGAAATTTGTCAGTGTTCAGTAAGGTAATATTGGACATTGAAATATTTTAAGGATTTAATATCTCACAATCAAATAAGCCTCACCTGATATCTTTGATATCAAGTCCACGAGCAGCAACATCTGTGGCTACTAATATTGGAGCCCTGCCAGTTCGAAACTGATTGAGAACATTATCTCTTTCGGCCTGTGATTTATCACCATGAATGCTTACAGCATTAAAATTGCGACCAATGCTGCGAGCAAGCTGGTCACACATCTTCTTAGTCGAGCAAAATATTATGATTTTTGAGCCCCTTTCTTGATCTCTAAGAATCTGCTCTAGGCGCCGCTGCTTGTCCATAGGCGGAACCACCTCTACATACTGCAAACAAACAGGAGCCTTAGAAATGGATCATCCTATAAACGACCACATAATATAATTACAGATAAAGGCTGACACATAGTAATTAGGTGCCAAAGAATGCTTTTCCAAACTACTTAACAATAATAGAAATTCTGACACCAGTCAGCAATGGCACTTCAAGGACTCTGCATCCTAAAGAAAGGCAAAGCATAAAGTATGAAAAGAAACAATCATAATTTCACTAGAATACCTGAGTGATGGATTTGTTGGCAACAAGTTCATCGATGCTGCCAATGTTGACCTGGACAGGATCTCTTAGTAAATCCCCAGCTATTTTTGTAACCTCCTTTGGCCAAGTGGCAGTGTACATTAGAGTCTGTCTAGTATTAGGAATCTCATCCACAATCTTCCGTATTTGTGGCTCAAACCCCATGTCAAGCATACGGTCTGCTTCATCAAGCACAAGTAATGAAACCTGATGGAGGCTAATCTTCTTCATCTCCAGAATATCATTAAGACGTCCTGGTGTTGCTACCACAATATCTGCTCCACGCTCAAGTTCTCTTAGCTGAGGGCCCTTTGAAGCTCCACCATATAGGCACTGAAAAAGAACGCATCAATGATGATTTCAATGTAAGAAATGTGACATGTCATTAGTAAACATAGTACCAGAAATAATGAACATTCTACAAGGCACTTAGGTACAGAAATCTTGAATGATTGATGCACAGCAATATTGTTCAGAACCACACGAGTTCATTTTCTAAGATAACTACTATAAAAACACGCTAGGCCTAGGTAGGTGCTCAAGCTAGCCTAGTGCCCTGATAGCCGCCTCAGCCGATCGACCTTTCTAAAGGTGAAGCTATCATAAACTTTTTGAAGAACAATACTTGAGTCTGTGACTATGTTTTAAAGTCTATACATCACAATCGACCTTTCTAAAGGTGAAGCTATCATAAACTTTTTGAAGAACAATACTTGAGTCTATGACTCTATGTTTTAAAGTCTACACATCACATTATTAACATTTGATATCCAGTAACTTAATTACTATGCATTGTCTTACAAAACAGAAAAAATGTGCACAAAGTTTCAGGACTACAATTGGTTGTGATCAATGCTTAATTATTCTATGCAAGATAAGGCAATAATAAAAGATATCAGGTCAGAACTTACTGTGCAGCAAACTCTAGATGATTGACCAAACTTAACTACTTCGTCTTGTATTTGTGAAGCAAGCTCGCGAGTAGGGGCCAAAACCAATACCGTAGGACCCAACATCGGATTATTGTGGCATCTCCTCAGATGTATAAAAGCAGGAATTAGGTACCCCAGCGTCTTTCCAGACCCTGTCTTGGCAATAGCTACTATGTCCCGGTTTTGCAGTGCAACAGGCCATGTCTGAGCTTGAATTGGAGTGGGATTTGAAAAGCCTGCTGCATGGATCTGAAATGAAAAAAAAATGGATAAGCATCATAAGTGCATGCCCACCTGCAGCAGATAATTGGTATTTTCCATAGCGACTAAAAAATGGTTGCAAACAATGAGAAAGTGGTTAAATTCTATCCTAGGTGAATATGGCTGCTTACTTAAGCAACTCAAGGCATGAAGAAGCTCTTTGTTGATTCAGTGGCAGAAACAAGAAGCAGGAAGCCTCAGCCACATTTTATAATCTGAAACAACATCAATCCTCCCAATACTTGTCAGCAGAAAATAGCCACAAGTATTTCACTACAGTGCCCAGAAATTGAAAACTAATCGTTGTATTAGGGCACTCAGCATCACCAAAATCCATCCATCTACTACATCAGTGAGCAATATCATACAATGTGCTCACTACGAGAGAAGATAATTTTCCATTTCAAAGATATCATTTTCAGTGGCCCACATTGTCAAGAATTTCTAAGTTAAGATAAATTTGTAGATAATTCATCCATGGATCCACAAGTACAACTAAACAAGACATACCTCTCTCAGAATCTCTGGAGGGAATCCAGTAGCCTCAAATGTCATAAACGGAGCAGGAACGTTCTCACCCTGGATAATAAAAAAATAGGAGTCAAAATATAAATAATCAACAGGTGACAGTATAAAAGAATAATAAATAAACAGGTAGCAGTCTAACTAAACAAGAAAATGAACTTGTAAACCAAGAGAAATATTCTGAAATACCCTGTTACTGAGCTATACATAAGGGAACAGGGCAAACTAAAATATGGCCAACTGCAAAAGTGCACTTCTCAGGCTTTATGAGCTTTTGGTATCTCGAATGTATTTCTCTGTGCAAAACAAATTAGACTATACCTCTGTCCTGTTTTCTTGAGTGGCAGTTGGCCAGAGATGTATACATCATGCTTGCAATGTCAGATATGTGTGCCATAAAAAATATTTTTTAGTCATGTAAATGTTAGATATCAACCAGTACCTCTATTATGCAAATGGGTTATTAAATTATTCAGAGATATGGAGTATGTTAAAAACCACATGTGGAACAGCATTTCCAGAATGTTTAAGTACAATGGCAAACAGCCTCTGGAGAAATTAGAAGTTGTAAACTGTGTCTTAGTTTTGCGACAAAATATGTCCATGCAATCAACTCCTTACCGTGGCAGTGACTTCATGGTGTTGACGGTATGCATCAGCTGAAGATACGCTTGGAAAATCTGGAGGAGCAAACATACTTGACGGTGGCCTCACTGAAGTTCCAATAGGCGATGGACCAAGATTATGTGGATTTGGTACTGAATGTGGAGGTGCCATGTTATAACCACCAAAATTGTCTGGACGAGGATAAGGCAGTCCATTATGCATGCCCTGCCGCAAAAGTTTATGCAAATCAGAGTGAATGGTTAGAACTTTAGAATTGAGGTTAGCATGAGCATAATATATAGAAAGCATTGAATATATCAGAAAGCTAATGGGCATTGTTGCCAACATTTTTACAAAGAGTTCCATTGATATGGTGTGGAAATATCATCAGACTTTATAATGTACAAGAAAGTTTATAGCTTATTACTGCCATGGTAGGACATAAATTTAGGCAGTATAAGGGTGAGCTTTTGGCTTCACTAAGATTTAACATTACTGTACCAAAGATTATTACCGTAGGATTTTGTGAAGTTGGGAGAGGAGCAAGCTTTGGCTGCTGCTGGAGAGCCTTTGTTCCATCAAACCTTCCATAAGAGTGAGGGTCATCTCTTTCAAAGTGACCATCACTATTACCCATATCAAAACCCATTGGAGGTCGAATTGGTGATGGACCAACATGATTTGGAACTGCATGGCCACTAACTGGTTTTTGCTGGTAGTTTGTATCTGCTCCACCTTGATGCATTTGAGCAGGTGAGTTCATAAAACCCATGTTATTAATCTCAGCAGAGGATGATCCACCAGGAAGATGCTTGGCAGGATACAACGGCCCACCAACTCCAGGTATATTTGGCTGGCTACTAAGGGCTCCAGGATGTTGATGACTAGAAGGTAACTGCTGATTTGGAAGAGGAGCCTGGCCACGCTGCTGACTAAGTGGTAATGAAAAGCCAGTCCGCTTGCCTTCATGAACTCCTCCATCATCATCCTTCAATAATGGACTTTGTTGCCCAAGTGGCAGTGGCGGTTTTCCATGCTGAGTGAACGGCAATCCATGCTGCAGTTGACCTTGTTGAGATGGCATTTTAAGTCCTTGAGGTTGAGAAACCTGCGGTGACTGCGAAGCTTGGGCAGGGTGGTGAAAGCTCAAAGATTGTTGAGGATGTTGCCCTTGACTCTGAGGAATCCTAACTCCCTGCGGCTGCTGGCTTTGATTATAAGCACCATGTGGAATTTGAGGCTGCTGAGCTTGATTGTAGGCAGACTGTGGTATCATGGATTGCTGACCCTGATTGTAGGAAGGTTGTGGTATCGGTGGCTGCTGAACTTGACCTTGATTGTAGGAAGGCTGCGGCATCGGTGGCTGCTGACTCTGACCTTGATTGTAGGAAGGTTGCGGCATCGGTGGCTGCTGACTCTGATCTTGATTGTAGGCAGCTTGCAGCATTGGTGGCTGCTGAGCTTGATTATAGGCAGTTTGTGGCATGTGTAGCTGCTGGTCTGCCTGATATGAATATGGTGGAGCCTGCTGTTGCTGCTGATGTTGCATGTAAGGACCATGCTGATACAGCATGTGTTGAGGATGCGCACTGTGGTACTGATGCGGCTGATTTGGCATGTGCGTCTGCTGTTGCTGATATGGCACTTGCTGAAACGAAGCTTGGTGTTGAACCATGACATGCTGCTGAGCTGGCTGTTGAGTGTGCTGCTGCCCAAGCTGGCCAGCCTGAGGAGGATAAGCTGCCTGGCCAGGACGCTCCTGGTGCCCTGCCTGGCCAGCTTGGCCAAACTGCACGTTAGGCTGCGAAAAAGCCCCTGGTGCAGGTTCCGGAACCTGCGCAGGGGTTGGCGGCGGAGGACCTGCTGGCAAGGGGGGCACCCCTGCAGTTGCAGCAGGCTTCTCATACTGGGTCACATTCGTCTCTGGGTTCCAATAGTACAGCGTCGCGCCATCAATCAGCGCTTTCCAAGGCGCAGGAAGCGTCGGGTCATCCGGAGCGAACCGAGGGCCCGAAGAATCAGCTGCGGCGGCCTCCTGAGCCGCCATGCCAGGCAACTCTTCTTGCCCCCTCCTTCTAATGGCTCACCACCTACGCTGCGACCATAACGCAAATGCCCTGCAAACCAGTAAAATTCAGGGGGGGCGGAACCAGTTAAGGAAACTCGATAATTTTTTGCAAGAAAAAACTAAGCATTATAGATGCATAAGGTTGCAATTAGAACAGAACAGATCGGGAGACAAATAGCCAGATAGCTTAGGTTAGGGTTTGGGCGCCCGGTCCCGCGCAGCAGGAAGGGAAGAGAAGGTCTGGCGTACTTGGAGGGTGCTCGTCGCCGGCGAGGGCGGTTGCGAAGACCTGGCGACGGGCGCTACGAAGACCTCGGCACCTGGCGTAGCGCGGCGGTGGCGGCGCTAGCCCAATCGTCGCCGAGAGGGAGAGGGAGAGGGAGAGCGCACACGGGGTGAAACGGGGGGAGACTAGAGACGGAAGTGTCGCCGGTGGGCCGCCCTGGGCCGTATCTCAATCCGCAAAAGCCTTTAAGATAATTTTCCTTTTTCACTTTTGTTTTGTGTCTAGTCCCGTTTTTTTTTCTGGTAAAAAGCTTTTGTCTTTAGTCCCGTTGCGGGTTTAGGGTTTTATGTCAAGTTTGTTCCTTATTTGTCTTCGTACAAATATTAGGAAGAAGAAAGTTTTTAATAAGGAATATAAATTATTATTTAGAAAGAATTAAGTTTGTTCTTTCTTTCTCCTTTTTATTCTTCCTATATAATTTCCGTATCATATTTTTATTTTGTGGAACACTGTCAATGCTACTGGAACATTGGTTGTATTACCGGATTTTTCTCTTGAAGCTAAACCTTTCTTTTGAGCCTAGAACAATTTATATGAAATTGAAATAACTTGTAATATTTTTTTTTGTTAAACATTGATTCGTTCAATAAAAAATGTCATCAGGAAATCTATGGCTTTCATGCTCCAAGATTTTTTATGTTCTCCGCATGGTGGAATCATTGGTAAATTAATGAGAACTAGCAAATATGCATGTGCGGGCATCGGGATACATAGATAGATATAAAATATAAATTAATTAAGATATACTCCCTCCATCCTAAATTATAAGTCATTCCAAGAATCTTGGAAAGTCAAACTTTTTCAAGTTTAACTAAAATTATAGAGAAAAACACAAAGATTGATGACATCAAATAGGTATAATATGAAAATATAACTAATGAAGAATCTAATGATACTTACTTGGTATAATAAATATTATTATTTTGTTATATAAATTTGGTCAAACTTGAAAAACTTTGACTCTCCAAGATTCTTGGAATGACTTACAATTTGGGATGGAGGGAGTAGATATAGATATAGGCTGGATAGTTTTTTCCTGTCACTACTGGAAACTCAAATTGTTCTGTGGGTGAAGAATTTTTCTGTGCGTTTTTTTCGGCACGCACAGAAACATTATGATTATTCTGTCGGTTTTAAAATATCCCGATAGAAAAATAAAAAACCCGACATAATAATTAAATGATTTTTCTGTGTGTGACAATACACACACGGAAAAAATCAGCACTCACAGAAAAATGCAACTTATTCTGTCGGTTCCTTGAAAACGCACAGAAAAATACATACACGCACACGAAAATCCTACTTGATAAACCGCCCATGCGCGCCAGCTCAAGCACCCCCGCCTTCTCTTCCCAGGCGCCCCTCCCCCCCGGCTCCAGCGCCCTCCTCTCCCTTCTTCCCATGGCTCCCAGCCCCAAGGCCCCTCCTCCCATGGCGCCCGCCCCTCCTGCTTCTTCTTCCCGACAGTGGCCGCTCCTCCCCTCCCCCTTCTTCACCCGGCCGGATCCGGCCCTCCCTCTCCCGGATCCGGTGGTGGTCATGGGTGGTGGTGGTGGTGGCCGGCGGGCGTGGTGGTGGCGGCGGCCCTCCCCCTTCTTCTTCCCCCACCGACGCCCTCCCCTTCCTTCTTCTTCCCAGTGGTGCCCCTCCCTCCCCCCATCTTCACCCATTGGATCTGGCCTCCTCTCCCGGATCCAGTAGGTGGGCTGCATGGTGGTGGTGGTGGTGGTGGCCGGCGGCAGGCGTGGTGGTGGCGGCGGCCCTCCCCTCCCCTTCTTCTCCCCACCCACGCCCTCCCCTCCCCTTCTTCTTCCCAGTGGCGCCCTCCCTCCCCTTCTTCACCCGACCGGATCCGGCCCTCCCTCTCCGGATCCGGCGGTGGCTCTGATGGTGGTGGTGGTGGTGGTGGCCAAGGGGCGTGGTGGTGGCGTCGGCCCTCCCTCCCCTTCTTCTCTCCCCCCCTGCGCCCTCCCCTCCCCCCTTCGTCTTCCCGGTGGGTGCCCTCCTCCCCTTCTTCACCCGGCCGGATCCGGCCCTCCCTCTCCCGGATCCAGCCGGTGGCTGCGGTGTTGGTGGTGGTGGCCAGCGGTGGGGCGTGGTGGTGGCGTCGGCCCTCCCCTCCCCCTTCTTCTCCTCATGGCCGCCCTCCCTCCCCCTTCTTCTTCCCCGGCGGGCGCCCCTCCCCGCCCTCTTCTTCACCCGATTGGATCAGACTGATTTCTCTATTGTGTGGTTGCAGGCTATTATAGATGAGTCACGCGGGATGTTGGCTCCTGCCGTCCTGGGAAGTTGTTCTTGACTCCAACGAACGGACGATTGTCGATTTCCTAGTTGTTGATTTTCTTTACTGGGATTCTTCCCTTAGTTTCACCGTACGGATGTGCTCTTTCTCCCGAAGAGTTTTTGCAGCAGCTAGCTCTTTGGCATCCAGTGTCCACTGTTTAGGGTAATTAAAATTTGTTTGGGTTATAGCTTGAGGGTCTACATACCCGGCTTTCAGACTTGGCATTTGTTTGACAATGTGCACTTGCATTCTACAAATCACGGCGTGGGTTAGTTACAACAAAATTCAAAGATTACATTCATATCATATCGGGAGGACAAGGACTTACAGGCACCATGTGCGAATTAGATTCATCTCCATCTCTCCTAGGTGAAAGCATGTTTGCATGTCATTGAAGTCAAAGACAATTTTCCTGGCTGGGCATCCAAATGTGCCGGTGGGGAAGCATGCTTGTATGATATCTATGCTCGTTGGGAGAACACGCAAGTACCAATCATGGAACCTTCTCGTTCCAAGTGGTAGGCGCTGGATGTCCCAGTTTGGTAGAAAGGACTTGCCTCTTTTATATGTTTTCGGGCAATCCTTTGACCATTTGATGGCATCAACATTTGGATACTGCTTTGCAATTTGGTGGAGTTTGCTAGTGACGGCCTCCTCAGAACCCCATGATGGGACTTTTTTAACTTGGTTCTTAGGCTTGAACTGGTCATGGGAATACCACTTGGACACCGATGAGACGTCTTTGATCAGAACATAAACTGGTCTTATGGTGATTGGATGCTTCTTTCGAAGTTCCCATGCAGGCACGTCCTCATCTTCTTGTGCTGCAGCTTCTTCAGGAGGCACTCGTTGTTCATGTATCGGCTGTGCTTGTTGAGAAGACTGTGGTATCTCATGATGCACTTGCTCGGTACGAGCTGGAGAAGGTTGTGGCATCTCATCAGGCACATGCTCGCTAGGAGGTGGGGAAGAATGTGGCATCTCAGGAATGTGGGGGTCACGAGATGGTGAAAATATCTCCCTGACCTCAACAACTTGCTCCAAATTTGGGAGAGGGGGAGGCGGCGAAGAAGCAGTCAATATAATATCCCATTTGTGCCAGAGGATGAGCTGCCCCATAACATCTCCAAGTAACACCAGCCCCTCGGGAGTTGCGTGGTCTATCCTCCACTGCATGAACTCAGGTTTCACTGTATGCACCTCGACCCTAGTGTAGTCCGGCGGTATCTTATTATTGTGGTGTAAGCCACCGGGAGGATATGCCACACCCGTTGCCACCTCCATCACAGTGTTCTAGCGGCCGCTGAGAAATACCAAGGTGCAACTAGTTGGTTCCCGTATGCGATCGACTAGGGTTGTGGTTGCAGTGGAACCTTGGCTGCTAGGAACTTTCGGAGGGCTACCAACTAATGCCAGTTCTCCTGGCGGCGTCACTAATATCTGTGGCTCCGTAGACGGTCCTTGCTCCTCCAGCGCCTTCGTAACTAGAGCCTTCACTTGGAGCTCAAGACTAGTCTCCCGGTCTTGGCCATGTTTTTTGTATATGTGCCTGTCCTCTTTGAATTCTTGCTTCCAGGTCGTCCTTTTCCCTAGCCCCCTGGTGCGGCATGTGTGCTCCTTATTTCCCAAGCCAAGGCTAAGCTCGTCCCTCTCTCTAGAAGGATTGAATGAGCCCTTCTCCTTGTCTTCAGCATATTTCAGTATCCTTGATACCGCCTCTTGGGTCTCCGGCTTATCAAACTTACGATTACTGCCGGATGATTCTGTACTCCTCGCATATATCCAGTTCTTTGAGCATACCTTCAAATTCGTCACATCGATATTCCCAGCAGCTGTGGCTTCTTCGTCCATCTTCCTAAACTGCTCTTCCTTGGCATAGTAGCCACCAGGGCCTAGATGTTGTTCCTCTTCGCCAGCTCGGTGTTACGGGCACTGAGCTCCAATGCCTCTGGTGAAGTCTTCTGAGCCACGAGCTCCTCCCATTGACTAGGAGTTATTTTGCCGAACTCGTTGAAGGGAGTTAACCCCTTTTGGATATACTTTGTGTTGAGCTCCGACCTCCAACGTCGTAATGACTCTCCCATCATCCTGATAGCATTTTTTTACCAATTCGTGCTTACCCTCCAGAAATCTAAAATTGACCTTCTGATGCCTATCCCATAGTGAATTCTTTGTGTTCTCTGGTACCTCTTTCCAGTTAGGGATTGCTGGGTTCAATTTATCTTTTACTAGGGCCCCGATCGCATTACGGAATTTTCCTCTTAATTCCTTCTGCTCAAGGATCTCCCCTACTGGCCCGACCTCCGTTATCACATAGCATGCCTTATCTGGATATAGATTTCCTTTTCTATCCCCTCGTTTCCTCTTAGGCTTGGTAGTCGTTGTTCTGTCTTGAGTTTGTGGAGCAGA